TATTGAAAGTGCCATGGCTGCCAAAAGAACCAACAGATCTGTGTTGGATGAAGTGCAGCCAGAATGCTCTTTGGAGGCCAGGATGGCCAGACTTTGTCTCTCATACTTCAGACATGTTGTCAGGAGGGACCAGTCACTGGAGAAGGATATCATGTTTGGTAAGGTAGAGGGTCAGAGAAAAAGAGTAAGCCTCCCAGTGAGATGGATTGGCAAAGTGGCAGCAGCATCAATGGGCTCTAGTGTGGCAACAGTTGTGAGGTTGGTGCAGGATCGGGTAGTGTTTCGTTCTGTTGTGCATAAGGTTGCTATGAGTCGGTACCGACTCGAGGCACCTAATAACAACAACAACAGTGTATAGGAGTCCTGGTGTGGCATTGCAGGATAATGTGCTGGACTGTCAGGTCAGTTTGAACCGCAGGGTCGGTTGTCCAAACCCACCAGCTGCTCCTTTGAATGCTTTTACAGGGTTGGTATGGGTTAGAAACAACTCGATGACACATAACAACAACAACAAGATATAAGTGGTGGTTGTTGCTTTTGTTAGGTGCCATTGAGTCAGTTGCGACTCATAATGACCATTAGCACAACAGAAACTCTGCCCAGTTCTGTGCCACACTCACAGTTGTTGTTACGTTCGAACCCATCATTGCAGCCACTCTGTCAGATCATCTTGTTGAGGATCTTCTTCTTCACTCTCTACTTTACCAAACTTAATGTCCTTTTCCAAGGACTGCTCTGTCCTAATAACATGTCCAGAGTACGTAAGATGAAGGCTCGCCCTTGTTTCTAAGGAGCGTCTGGCTATACTTCCTCTAAGACAGATTTATGTGTTCTCTGGAAGTCTATGGGACTTTTCATATTCTTCACGAATACCGTAATTCAAATGCATCGATTCTTTTCTGGTCTTTCGTTCGTTGTTGTCCAGGTTTCAATTTATGTACTTTTCTGTTATGGATAATACTTTGACATATGTTGGAGTATGTGGAAGCTTGCTGATCCAGATCATGTGGGCTGTTTTAGGACACAGTTGCCATTGAGGATGTGACCGTGAGCTTCACCCAGGAAGAGTGGGCTCTGCTGGACCTTACTCAGAAGAAGCTCTACAGAGATGTGATGATGGAAACCCTCAGAAACCTTGCCTCTGTGGGTAAGGATGACATCATGCTTTAGATTTATTCCAGTCAGGGACAAATCTATTGTATTCATTGGCCTTGCGCCAGCATTTGGGCTAACGAATGGCAACACATTGATAAATAATACAGGTCCAGTAATTTGCTCTATGAAACTTACACATTTTGGGTTCTCCATAGGCATAAAACTCTATGTATTGAAATCACTTTATTTCTCTTGTGGTTAAAGTATTGATGTACTTTTAAGTGTTGTAAATGTGAGCATTAGCTTGGACACTTGGGCACAGAGAGGTTTGTGGTTTGGAAAGTTGTACTTTTTTTTTTTTCACTGTGTTTATTACAAGTTTGACAGGGTTATTTTGCTGCAAAGGAGACTGGAGTTTAAAGTATTGTCTCCGTGTAAGTGAATTGGTCATTGCTCTTTACTTTCTTTTCCCATAGTAAGTCTTTCTCCATGAGCACCATGTCAGCTGCACATATTTGCTCCCAGATAAGCAAAAGAAAGATCTGAGGAGAGTACAGATAGGACCCGCTGTGTTGGGGAGCAGCAGGAAGTCAAAAATCATGGCATACCAGCCGTGTGTGGAGGAAATGGGATGAATAAATCAGTTAAAAAAGGCCTCTTTTGAGTTGAGGAGAGTGACTTTCACAGACACCTGAGCTTGCTTTTCTGACTTTCTTCAGCCTTCTCACACTTGTGCTCATGGAGAAAGATCTTTGCCTTGTCCTCTTACGTGTACATTGTGCATTTTCATGTAACGTGACTTAGTGGATATATTTCATAATCATTTGCTTTCTGACTATTGCCAGACATCCAAATGCCTCAAATTCCTTCTTTGCTCACTGCTCTCTTTTTCCTCCTAATTATTCCCTTCTTTTTTGTTTCCTTTTATGAACCCCCATTTCAATCATTGCATCAGTTTCTCGAGACTTTAATGTTGGAAAAGGAGTGTCTAGTACACATGTTACAGTGGAAATCATGACAAAAAGTACCTGGTTCTCTATGTTACAAGAAGTCTGTAGACTGTGTGGAATTGATGATCCGCATAGAAACCAGGGAAGACACAGGAGGTAAGTACCGTTCACATGAGGGAGAGCAGTGCCTCCGGGGACAGTCCAGTGTATCATACATAACCTGTCGTGTCAGCACTGGACTTCAAACCACAAGGGCAAGAGTTCACGCCCACCAGCTGCTCCTTGAAAACCCTATACAGGGTCACTATGAGTTGAATATATATGTATGTTATTGTGTGCCATTGAGTCAGTTCAGACTTATAGC